GAGTCTTAGTGCGTTAAAGACGGTGCCAGAGCCGCTGCCAGGGTGCAAGTGCCTCTAACTGTCCCGTAGACTTCATGTTAAATTCGGGCTCCTTACAGGCAAGACCAAGAACACTACTTGCAGTCCATTTTAAATTATTTATCTGTACATACGTTTTCTGAAATGTATATAACTCCAACCGAGCATCTTGTAACTGAAGACACCGTATTTATGATACAGCTTTCGTCCACCATGCAAATGTCTCCTGCCTGGTTTGTTTTTACTGAGGTCGAGGTTGTCCCTCAAGTCCAGGGGCCCTTCCTGTTCTCACATCCTGAGGTCCTGGGATTCATGCTGGTCCCGTGCGTCGATTTGTACAGACACCTTTGAAGGCACTTGTACGCTCACTTGGGACATGAGCTGGAGATGTCTTTAAAAAAATTCTTTCCAGCCCTACCCGGTTTGGCTCAGTGGTTAGAGCGTCAGCCCACGGACTGAAGGATCCCGGGTTCGATTCAGGCCGAGGGCACCTACCTGGGTTGCAGGCTCCATCCCCGGCCCCGGGTTGGGAGGAGTGCGGAGGCAACCAATCGATGTGTCTCTCTCGCATGGATGTTTCTCTCTCCCCCCCTCCCTTCCACTCTCTCTGAAAAGCAGTGGGAAAAATATCCTCTGGTGAGGATTTGAAAACACCCAACAAATATCTTTCCACACTGCCACCTCTCCTATGGCCTTAGGAAGGGCTCCCGCTGTCTGGAACCACCACCTTATCACCGCTTCCAGCTCCATCCGACGGCCGGTTATAAAAAGATCACACGCCTTTAAAATGGATGAACCGGCGTCTATTTACCCCCAGTCCTCTGATTTCTCTTTGGAGGGTTGTCAGTGGTGAGAAACCTCGGGTATCAGGGCGTGAAGAGGGACCACGCTCGATGCCAGCCCGCGGCAGCTCCCGGTCCCAAATCCTTGCAGCGCAGCCCCGCTCTCAGCCCGAGTCGTGGTCGCAGTCTTACGACACGAGCCACCGTCCTGGGGTCAGGCTTCCTCGGGGTGTTGCTGCCTCAAATGCCAGGTGTCCCCTGGAGCGTAGAGATGTCCTAGACCATCACGCTCTTCACAGCAACTGTATTCAGTGGTCACCGGGCTGCCCATTCGAACCACCGACGCCAAGGCCACGGCCCGGAACCAGCCAAGCCATTTAGGAAGGAAGGAAGGGAAATGGCCCTGGCCAGGTGGCTCAGCTGGGTGGAGTGTTGTCCCAGGGCCCTGAAGGCCGTGGGTTTGATCCCTGGTTGGGGGCACGTGCCTCGGCTGTGAATCCCCAGTTGGGGCAAAAAACAAGAAGATGGGTCCTACGTTTAAGGATATTTACATCAGAATGACCCTTAAACTTTTGGAAGTGTTTTTGAGCATTTCAACTGTATGGCCATGTCACGTGCACGGAATAATTTTGCTCTCAACAGTCGTTGAAATCCCACTAATTATAGAATAATGGGCTCCAGGTGAGTTCAGGTCCCTGTTACTCCCGTTTCTGCGAACTTCACGAGGAGCAGAATTTTCTCAGCAGCTCTCCTGGGCCAGGAGAGAGGTTCTCCCTAAGAGCGCTCTCAAAAAGTTCTCTGTTGACTGTTTGCTAGGTACTTTACAAAGAGGTCACCTTGACAACTGTCCCCCCCTCTGCAATACGCTGGAGAGAAAAAGGGACATTCCACCCTGCAGGCTTCGTGGTAACCATGGCGACATGGCCAGACACCAACTCCCTGCGCTTCCTGTTTATAGTGGAGCCGGAGCCCTGTCTTAGCTGAGCCACTTCCCCAGCATCCCTCCCACCACAGGCCCTACATTTCTCCCTCCCCTAACCCGACCCAAAAAGTCAACCCTGGCCATCGACATCCCCTGACTATGGGGATTATCCCCCGACTATGGGGATTATCCCCCGCTAGCCCTGCCCTCACCCCGCCCGTCACTGAACCGAGTGGGACTCAGCTTCTCATGCGGAGCCGGAACGGAAGGCGGCTCAGGTGACAGTGGCTCCCTCCAGCTCCTTCATACTAGATAGTGGGGCGATCAGAAGCCTCGCTCACCCCACCCCACCCCGGGAGAAGGCGCAGCCAGTTTACCTCGGGAAGGGCAGGTCACCGGGAGGGCTGGTGACAGAGAACCCCTGAAGCCCCTCTGCAGGAAGCCAGCAGGTGCAAAAAAGGAAGCGGGGAGCCGCGGGCAGGGCCCACACCGGGACCAGGCCCGTCGGGTGCGAAGCCCACGGAGTCCTGCCAGCTCACAGGGGCGCGCATCCGACGCCGCTGGCAAGGGCCTCGCACTGCGCGGAGGGCCTCCCAGGCACCGAGGCGCCATGAGCATCTCCCCGGCGCTCACCGAGAGCTCCGGGTGGCCCGAGAGGACATTTTCTAAGCAACACTGTCCCACTTCTCAGTTAGGACTCCTATCATTTTTAAAAACAATCTGGAGGTGGGGGGACAGAGCACATCTTTTTATGGACATTATACTTCACTAAATATTTCCCTGGTTTTATCTGTAACTAAGAAATAATTATAAGGCCCAGCTGGGCGTGGCTCAGCAGCTGAGCGTCGACCTAGGATCCAGGCGATCGGGGTTCGATTCCCGGTCAGGGCACATGCCCGGGTTGCGGGCTGCAGTCGATCAATGACTCTCTCATCATTGATGTTTCTCTCTCTCTCCCCCTCTCTCTCTGAAATCAATAAAGATATATTAAAAAATAAATAATTATAAGGATGAACATTATTCCTTAAGTGATCACAACTGGAAAGTAGGATTTCAGAAGCTATTACATTTCTTGTCCCTTATGTTGTCTGATTTTTCTATAATGATCACACACTGCTTTGGCAAGATTTTAAAAATTCTAATAAAAAAGAACACTTTCAAAACAAAATGTAGCAACACCAACAGTAGTTAGAAAATATGACATTTTATTTTCACTTATGGGTACAGTACATGAATTTAGAAATCGAATCACTGCAGGGCTCTGAAGGAGCGACACCTCCGGGCCGACCGCGCGTTAGTCCGCTCGGCAGAGCAGCCTCGGCGGCAGTCGGTCCGGTCCGTGCTGTAGTTGCTGACGCCGGCTCTCCCCGGGAAGTGCCCAGGAGCATTTGAGTAACAGGTGACAGTAGATACAAATCTTTGGAACAAATTCTGCTTATTTACATCTAAAGAATAGGTAGTTCTAATTACTTACCCTACTGTGTTTTAATGACTGATTTTAAGCTACAGAAGATCTTCCAGCTGTTATTTCCTTTAGAGTTTCTAAAAGCAACAACTCTTTGAATGTTTATAAAAGATAATGTTGAAAAAAAGGTAATGTTGAAAAGGCGCTTTTATAGATATTGAAGGAAAGCAAGATTCCTACGGAAAGAACTGGACATGTTTCCAAGCACAACACACACTGTAGCGTATTTAACTGGTTGTTTCAGGACAGTGGCGATTACACTACCTTATATACTTTTCTACTATTTAAACCTCATAATTACAATTTGAATTTACAGTTCAACTTAGACCTATGCACAGCCCCTAAAGCATGTTTTTCAGGTTGTTTTACACATAAATTAGAGTTGAAGTTGGTCCTTGATTTGGAGAACTGGAGCTCCCTGGAAGCACACCTCACACAGGCTAACGGGCTTTACAGTGAGTGGGAAAGCGTCTCCGCAGTACCGTGTGCGGAAGCGGCCGCAGCCCGGAGCCCACCACGACCCCGCACAAGAGCCCCTCAGAGGCCCGTCTCCATGGAGGTCTGTAGAAAAGAAATGTCCGGGAGGGGGCTGAGCAACAAGGGAAGTCCTGAAAACACGCGGCTTTGGACCATTAGCGTAAGAGAGACTTTACATTCTTTGATTTCATTTACACCTTTTAAAAAAGGTAAAGTGTACCTGAACTTTCCATCACTTAAAAGGCTGAACTTCTAAGGCAGCCCCACTGAGACTCCCAGAGACACGGCCATTCCTCCTCCCCCGCAGAGCCGCGGGCTGCCTCCTTGGTGAACCGGAGGCCTTACGCTTTACAAACCCAGCAGTTAGAGTACGCGACATGTGGGAAGGTGGCCTGCTAACTGGCAGCTCCAAGACAGTATGGAAACTGAGCTCAGAAATCATCTGTTAAATAATGAAAGCAGCTAGATTTTTTTATATACATATATCACTTATTCTGCAACAGTTGATTAGCTGACAATGAAAAGATTCCTTCCATTCTGTGAGCTGAGTTCAGGTTATGTTTGAATGAGAGAACAGCTTCGAATTATAAACACAGCCGTCCAACAGTAAAGATCACCAGGCAGATCATCAGTTGAAGTCATCGCCCACAGAGCACAGGTGTGCTTCGGGTAAAGGCTCATGTGGAAAGCGGGTCAGTAAAGACTCCAGTTCTGCATGATGGAGTCTTCAGGGCCAAGCCGCTTTCCACAGACACAAACTCAGTCTATCTTTTCTTTCTGGACTAGTCTGGGAGCATCAACAAAATCTTTGCCGTTGTAAAGAATAATAAAAAATGTCCCGACGCTCGCGACTCCCCAGAAGAGCACATAGGCCAGTGTTTCTGTCCAAGTGTCACCTGTTGATATAAAAACACGAAGAGTTTATAAGTCATTTACTGAGACCAAAGCCAACTCTCAGCATATCTTGACATTAGAAGTTTATGAACACATTACAGGAAAAATACAAGAACTTCTCACGAGCTTTAAACCAGTCGTTCTCAAGCCCTGGCCAGCATCAGAAATCCTCTCCAGGGCTTGAGAACGATCACGGCTGGTCCCCACCCAGACTTTCTGACCCAGCCCGAGAATCTGCATTTCTGCCAGGTTCCCAGATCATGCTGACGCTGCTGGTCCAGAGGCCACACCTTGAGAACCACCTGACTAAACTATTTCGTGTTATATCACACAAATAGTAATTACCTTTGGATTATATATTTTGATACTACAAGAAACTACCACTGATAGTTTAGTTTGGTCCCATCTATGACAGACATTAGTTACTATCAAAATACCTGCACGAAAATAACCACAAAATCTACACGTGTCAGAAGAGTTATGTTTTAAAGTCCCGTGTGTAAGACAAAGCTCAATACCCTATTTTAACAACATGTAACACACTCTCCTGAGGTGCACTTCACAACCGTGCAGTTCAGGAAGGTCAGCAGCAGGCCAGGCAGGGCTGGACTTCGGTGTCCAGGCTAAGAAATGTTAGCACATGGAATTCAGGGTGGGGGTGAAGACTGGAGGGTGCATCTTCCTGCAGAGAGCCTAAGGCTGCACCTCAAAAGTACATTAAAACCTAGGCACAGACTTGAATTCCCAGAGCACTGAATAGTACTTAATGAAACACTTGAATCTGAGGTGCTTATTAACTTAGTAACATAAAAAAATATTGAGAGAGAAAAAGAAAACCAGTAAAGACCTTGTTAGCTCAGTTCTTAGGCAATTTTGCTCTCAATCTATTAAAATTTGGTAAGTACTATATTAATCCATTAACAACATTTATTTGTCCAATAGGTGGTTGGTTAAATAAACCATACGTCCATAAATGGAATACTTAGGTGTCCTTAAAAATAAAGAACATGGGAAAATGTTTATATTGCTCAGTGAAAAAAACAGATTACAAAAAAATGTATATCTCACTTTTGGGGAAAAACACACACACAAGTATAAAGATTAAAATATCAAAATGTTAAGAGTAGTTCGCTTATCTCTGGAAGACAGGATGGTAATATTTTCTTCTTTTTGCCCAGCTATATTTCCTATAATTACTATGTGTTACTTTGGTAATAAGAAAAGTTTTAAAAACCTTACCAAAAAACACTTATGAAGCTATTAAGCATAATATTTTTCCTCTGGTCACATCTAAGGACTAATCCCATCTGCTCACCTTACTGAATTTAACTGGGAATCATCAAGTGTGACGGAGACTCAAAAACTCAAGATGTTGTACAAAGGAAGTTCAACATTCTGAAAAGTGAGTACAAGACGAGACACGCGCAGACTTACCGGCCATGAGCAAGCAGATAATGCACATTGAAAAGGCCACGACCATGATGATGGGCAGCTGGAAGACAGGACAGGGAGGGGAGGCATCAGAAAGGACGCTCACAGCCGCCGCACTATCGGTTTGCTCTCCCTGAAAACCACAGACCTCTTCCGCCGTCTAACACACAAACAGTTCACTCAGAGCTGCCCAAACCTTCAGACTGGTTAAGTAACCAGGTCTGAGAAGCATGACTTTGCTCCAAACTGAGTTCTAAGAGGAGAGTGGCGGCCCAGATGAGGGCCTAGGACACTAGCCCCCAGCCCCCTTCCACTCCAGGACTCTGCCCACGGGAACGGGATCCAGAGAGGCTCCTGCAAGTCTGGTGAACAGAGGAGTCAAAAAAGGAGAGGAGTACAAACCACGTAGGGACACCTCGGTTTACTGCATTCACCTTAGTGCGCTTTGCAGATGCTTTTTTTTTTAAATAAACTGAAGGTTTGTGGCAACCCTGTGTCAAGCAAGCCTGTCAGGGCCATTTTCCCTACCAGTTCAGATGATGGTTAGCATTTTTTTAGCAATGAAGTGTTTTTAATTAAGAAATGTACATTGCTTTTTTTAGACATAATGCTATTGCCCAGTTCACAGACTGCAGTACAGTGCAAACTTTTATCTGCACTGGGAAACCGGTAATTCCCGCAACTCACTTCACTGTGATACTCGCTCTACTGTGGTGTCTGGAACTGAGCCTGCAGTATCTCTGAGGTACATGCCTGTCCTTTGCCTTCTGAGACACAAGGTTGCCTCCAGCAATCCCTGAATGTAAGGGGAGTGGGGTACTCCGGAAATGAGAAGCCTTCCACACTCCCCATGCTATGGTCCTTGAAGTCCGAGAGAGTGAAATTTGAAAGAAAATAAATGCTCCGAAGTCTCTTTACTCCTCTCCCGGCTCACTCCTAGGGGAAACTGGAATACTTGTCTCCCAATTAGAACAGATAATGTTTTAAATCAAGGGGAGTTGGCATCATCTATACTCTCAGATACAATGCTTCTGATACATGAGAACATAAAGGTTTCTTACAGCGAGGAATTTCAAATCCCGCGGGACGCTTAAAGGACTATGAGCGTCTAATTCGTCCACTGAGTAGTTCCCCAGAAACAAGTCTATGGAGTCCTAGAACGGAAGCAAGACAGTGGTTAGCTCCCAAGTCAGGTGTGATGACACTACCGGGGGACAGCGCAAAGGCACCGGCACTAGCGACCAGCAGTGGCGCCCGCCAGGCTCACCTGCCGGAAGCCGTCCGAGAAGTTGTTCTTGTAATACCGCACCAGCGAGTTCCAGCCGTCCTTCAGGAGCCCCAGCTGCGTTCTCTTCCCCGTTCTGGTTGAAAGAGGCCCAGTTTTGAGTTACATGTAATAAATTCTCACACTTTTCTAGTATAAGGAAAAGTGGCCAATAAGTACGTGGTATGGAGAAAAGAGTGACAGAGATTTTAGAAATCAGCCCTGAAACTGTAAAGGAGCTACCTCACAAAAGAACCACTGGCGGGTCCAAAAATGACATAATCTCTTTCTAAAATGCTGCCAAAGTCACACAAAGAGGACAAGCATTCAGTTCCAGTTGCAAAGAACAGAAATAAGAAGAGAAACACGAAGTCCAGGGTAAGTGGATGAAATAGCAAAAAGGCTCAGAAACCTCATTTTGCTCCAGGGAATCCACAGCAGAAACGGCCCAACCGCATCTGTAACCAATTCCAGCGCTCACGCCTCTCACTGCCCAGTGTGGCCCCAGGAGCAGCACCAGAGCCACCAGGGAGGCCAAGGACCCACGAGCGAGCCTGGGCCTCACCCCGACTGGTCTAACGAGGCCCAGGCGCTGTTCTCTCCCTCTTGCTGCTGCGGTGTCCGGAAGCTGCCCGAGTGGCCCTAACGCGCCCAGGACTGTGGCGCTCGTCTGGAATACTACTTTAAAAGTGTGGCTTGCCTGGTAAAGTCCGTCTTCAAGGCACCGGTTCCCGCATACTGTTTGGCACAAGCATTTGCGTTGTCAGCCCAGGCTGTGAAAGAGTAAACATCAGCTGATAATGATGAAAACGACAACCAGAGTTGTAAATCTAAAATATTACTTTATTTTAAAACTGGAGTAACTTTGCCTCCATTAAAGAAAATACCTACAATTTTTGTAAATCTTCTCAAACTCATCTTGTTCTTCAAGCTTTTGTCCCACATGCAACACACCTAGTCTCTGAAACGAGAATAACCCCATGTTGACGTGCAGGTTTCAGCACCCGGGATTTAGAAGAAAAAGCACAGTCCTCAAATCGCTTCCCACGGTTCCGGCTGCTGGCTGCAGGCGGGAGGCACATTCCTTGTGGAGCAGGTCCCAGCGGACCTAGGCCCGGCTGGCCAGGCTGCAAAGCCTCCCTGAGGGCTCCCTCCCCTGTAGCCCCTTCCCCTGGAGCCCCAGTACCACAGGAACAGCTGCAGGACTGACTGTGCTCGGGGAGAGGGACAGAGGGAGAGGAACAGGGGAAAGTGAATGCTCCCGTGGACTCCAGCCACTGCCTCCTCCGTCCGCTGCCTCCACCCTCCACCCTCCTCACAGTCGCCACCCCAGGCTGCCTCACGCACACTCACCCCCTACCCAGGGCCCGAGAGACATGAATGAATGCTGCAGATCTACCTGCCCATGAACTGTACACCGCATAGCCCTTCTCACATAATCTCAGGGATTCCTGAGCACCCTGAGTCTCCCACAGACGCCCCTCGGGTTCACCAGCCACTGATTAGAAAGCCCTGCCTTGGGCTTGGTCGTGGATCCCTGACCCTCTCAGAACCAGTGTCTTCACGGTCTCTACCTCACACACAGCACAGGTGCCACCGCAGTGAGCTCGGCTGGGTGAGAGCTCTGCCCTCCCTAGAGGCGAAGGCACCTCCAGAATCCCCACCCAGCCAGCACTGGTGACGCTAGAGAGGTTCCTGCCCAAAGGCTCTGAAATCGGGCAGGTTTTATACCATATTTAGCATGAAAAAGAGGTAACTAGCTTACAGGACCTAGTTAAGTAGATTTTTGTTCATCAGCCTTGGAAACACCATTCCTAATACTGTTGCTATTGAAAAATACATTCTGAAGTCAACCCAACAGACTGACAAGCACACAGTCCAACAGGAACCAGGAAAGTGGAGGCCTCCAACAAGGAATCCACGCCCTGGGCACGTGCTACTTTAGGGTTCAAGGACAATTCATCCTGAGGGAGCTACTCCGCCTCCGCAATTCCTCCCTGGCTGCCACAAAGCTGCCAAGAACAAAGTTGAAGGCTTACTAATTATTTCAGTAGGAAACCATTTGGGATGAATCTGTTTGCCCCTCACAACAAATGCCAGTGTGATCTGGAAAGTGGGACTCTACATATTTTTAATTCCAAACATAAACAGAAGAAAATATTCACATCTATTTTCCGTGACAGCAAATCTCAATGATGAAGCAAAACTGTGTTTGAGCTTTTCACCTGGGAGTCAATATCCGGGGCCAGTAATAAGAGATGTAAAAAACAACCTTCAGGTACTACTCTGTACTATTAAAATAGAAAAAAAGTTCTAAGTAAAAATGTCTAATGCTGGCAAGAGTTCAATGAAATGGATCACTTACTGCTGGCTGATGTCAGTGCAAACCGCCATGACCCTTTTGGAGAGGAATATATATATATTACATAACATAATAAACATATATATATTCCTTTAACCTAGTAACTGAACTTCTAGGAAGTAACCCGAAAGAAACAATCCAAGTTAACAATAATATATACAGATATACTCTCTATAGTGTTATTTACAAGCCAAAAATGTAGCAACCTAAATAGCTTAGTAAATAATAGTACAACTGAATGCAACTCTTAAAAACTATATCTATGACACTAGAGGAGATGGCAAGACTGAAACTTGGACATGCATACAGACCAGTTACGGAAAACGCACAGCACGGATAGCAAGACACAAAAACAAAATGAGCTGGGTTAGAGTGAGGGTAATGTGAATGTTTTCTGTTACTGGTTTTTGTAGATGAAGTTTCTTTCATTTTTTGCTATATTGTTTAATAAAAGAAAAAAGGAATCTGCACCTGCAGCTGGGCCTGGAGCGAGCGCCTAGCTAACAGGCTCTGGATCACGTTGGTTCTATCCAGACAGTCCATACAGTTGCTGCGGAACACACCCTCCTGGTTCGTCACCACCTTGCCGGTAGAGTCCACTAGAAAATAACTAAAACATATTTGTATAAACACTCTCATAAAAGTCAGTTACATCTACTAAGGACACACCTCTTACAACACAGGTCTCTGATCAGTAACATTATTAAAACCAGTGAATTAAAAGGTCAAGACAGAAAATGCACGGGTCAGGAATATTTGATTACCACAGACCAAAAAGAGGTTAGAAGGGCCTTGGCCTTGAGATAAACTGAATCTCTGAAGCAAGGGTTGATATTGTGTATTAAAAACATTTTTAAATCTTCTTAAAATGGGCAATACAGGCAAATAGTACAAAATTTATAAGGTATAATAGGATCTTATTTGGAAAATCCGGCTTCCCTTTCTCCCCTTAACCACCCAGATGTCTGCACTGGACCAACTATGGTCTCCAGCTCCTGTGTTTCCTGCAGTGATAATAATCTGCTCAGATAATGCTGTGCACTTGAAAATTTGACAACACATGTGGAGGTGAAGAACATGGACTCTGACAGCAAGCAACTGGTTTGCTAGCCTTAGCTCCTTAGGCGACTTACTAGCAGTGTAACTTTAATTAACCTAATCTCTCCGAGCCAAAGTGTTTTCATCTCCCTCATACCACTGGGCTGCTCGAGGGTGTGAGTGAGATAATGCATAATGCACACAGAACCCTTAGTAGAGTGTATGGGACAGCAGGCAATGAATACTAGACAATTCTAATTAACTAACTGAGGCAGAACAAGCTGACAGGCTGGTTTAGATTCCTTCTTCTGCCTTCAAAATAAGACTGACGTACGCAGAGTACAGTATACATGTGATCAACACAGTAAGTAACACGGTAAACACACAATGAAAGTACCGTGAGGCTATTCAGACCCTTTGATCCATTAATTTCTACTCTCAAGAATTTATTTTGAGCCTGGCCAGGCATGGCTCAGCGGTTGAGTGTCGACCTGGGATCCAGGCGATCGGGGTTCAATTCCCGGTCAGGGCACATGCCCGGGTTGCAGGCTCGATCAATGACTCTCTCATCATTGATGTTTCTATCTCTCTCTCCCCCTCTCCTTTCCTCTCTCTGAAATCAATAAAGATATATTTAAAAAAAAAAAAAATTATTTTGAAAATAATTAAACAGAAGTGTAACAATATATATATATTCAAAGTGATTTGCGGTAGCACAACCTTTCATTGCAGGAAGAGAAAAGGAGACAAACCAGATCCTCGGTGTGAAGGGGAGCGTTTAACTAAAACTGCACCATGAGCCAATGGGACAGAGAGGACACCGACCACTATCCTTACGAAGACAGGAAGGCTAGGGACACAAATCTCTAATAGGATGTTTAGTGAAAACAACAGCAGTAAATTAACTTCAATTATGTAGAAAAATGTAAATGTGTAAAAGATAATTCAAAAAAATACAAAAATACCCTGTTGTGGGTCATGTTTAAGAATTCAAAAATATTTTCAAATTATGAAGTATCGTCTTTTCAATTAAAAAACCTAAAAATAAAAATAATAGTATAGACAAATGCTGTCAACCCAGGAAGTGTATTTGTAAAAGTACACTTGTAAAAGTGCTACATAATGAATAAATATGGTTAATATTCACGCAGACCTCTTCCCATGACCTCCACAGGGAAACAAGACAGCTTACCTCAATTCATCTTGCATATCTGCTACCCGGTCCAATAAAATACTCAGCCGATCCCATCTCATATTTTTACATTCCTTATGGAAGTCAAAGGCAATATATCTACCAAAAGAAAAGATATTCAAAACTGAGCAAAGATTATTCCTTTTCCTTCTAACAATACTACTTTCATAGCTGGTACTCCTCCCTACACAGCTGTCCTGGGGGCAGGAGAGCCTCCTTCCCTCGGCTCTACCACTGCGTACATGCACCTCCTCACGCTGAGGGGAAAGACATGCACACTTCTGCCTTCACATGCTCTTTTGGAGGCCCCCAGACAGAAAACAGAAGCAGCCCGGCTCAGGGCTAAGGAGCGAGCCCAGGCACAGCAACCGGGTGTGCAATATGAAGTGGCCCTCTCCAACCGAATACCGGGCACACATTCATTCTCTACCCCATGTGGTGCAAAGGATAGGGTCCCATTTTATTGTTTTTCAAACTGATTAAAATGTTCAAAATGGTCAAACTTGATTCAGTCCAAGGAGAGTTAGATGGTGTTGTGTACCAGGGGTTGTGAGAAGAAAAGAGGCAGGATGGCCCTACTCTGGTCAGTTACTGAACCACTAACAAGAAATTCCACTTGGCCAACATTTACGCATCACACACCTGTGGCAGAAATTTCCTTGTCTGTCAATCTGTAATGGGTTGTGTTCAGTATCTGATATTTAAGAGGCACACATCTCAATGTTAGAACACATTTAATGGTGAAGATGGCCTACCACAGCGGAAAAATGCCCATTGAGAGTGGAAAAAAATCATGAACCAATTTCCTGAGTCAAGGGAGGAAGAATGAACAGAGGACCTGAGCACCACGGACACATGAAGGTCCTCACGTGTTCCACTTCCGCCCAACTTCCCGCTCAGGGTCAAGGTGAGTCACAAGGTAGGAGGACTGGAAGGACATTATGTTTGCCACAGAGTAAAAGTCAGAGGAGGTATCTGCTCTCAGGTGACACCTTTGGCTCCAAAAGACTGAAGGGGCACCAGCAGAACGTGGGCTTCTAAGCAGGTCAAGAGAGGGGCTCCTACCACCTCAATTATCTCATGTGGGAAGTCAGAAACAAAACTAGAAATTAGTATAAAGGTTAGCCAACTGAGGGGTTTGACACTGAAAGACTTGGGGGGGGGCATTTTCAGTGAGAGCTCCAATAAAAGTGACAGTGTGACAGTTATTTTTGGAGTGCTCTGAACAGAAGGAATAGCTCTAGACCTGTTTAAAGATTTTAAATATTTCACTGCCACCTAAATGCACTTGGACTCTTAAGCTTATATTTTTATAAAATCACATTTATATCTTCTAAGAATGAGTTATATAGCTTTATTTTGATAATATAAAATATAATATAAAATAAAATGATAGTATAAAATATGATTTAAGATACATTAATTTACTGCTGAACCCCAAATAACCCAGCACGATTTCTTTGGAAAGTTTCCCCCCAGTGTCTGTGACTCCTTCCCATCAGAGTACAGACCCATCTCCCACTGCGGAAAGTTCCAAGTGGGCTGACTCAGTACCTCACACCTCTCCACAGGCAACTGCTGATGCCTTAGAATCCCTCTTTTGACAAGGCTACAAGAGGAGTTTGCAACTGTTGCCTGGTGACTTACAGGAGAGGCCAAGCTGCTGCTCCAGACAAGGCCACCATGCCAGAGTACAGTGCTCCAGCTCGGGGGGGGGGGG